CTTTCCCACCCTTCACAAATCAGAATTTCTTTCATTTTTTTCTTGCAAGGACTTAAGGAAGAGTCCTTATAAAACACAAATGCATATATAAAACACAACATTTGCTAGATGTTTTGGCTCAGTGAGTTTAATGCTGTATTTTACTTTGGCTGTACCACTGTCAGGTACCATGAAGTAAAAACTGAACACAGACATGTAAGAAAAAAATCTGTGTAAACTGAAAGCTTATTTTGCATGTGATTTTATACGCTCCCTCACATTTCACTGACAATATACATTTATCAGATGCAGACAAGCAGATCTACTGACATACATAATTCTTCACCGAGGCCAACTGAGGAATATTTCATGCAGAATGCCTTTCCTGTAAATAAGTGTTCAGAGAACTAAAAAAAAAATAAATTTCATACTCCCTTCCTTGGTCTCTAAGAGGAGAGAGAAATTCCCCGTCTGTTCTACCTGACATCTCTATCAGCATCCCTGCGTGCCCGGGGGGGTTTCAGACCTGCAGCCCCCAGCCGGAATGGAACGAATGCAGCATCAACGCTTGCTGGAGAGTTGAAGATCAGCTCTTTGGCTGCCAAATCTGACTAACACTTTTCTGCACCACTGAAAAGCAATGAGGATGCTTCAATGAACACTCTAGGTTGTTTAGGTAGATGAATAGTTGAAGTAGCTTTTCTGGCATGCCCTCTGTATGTAAGCTGGCACTGTCCCACGAATGCGAAAGGCCCACGTGGCTTATGTTGCGCGCTTCCCTCTTCACTCACATAATATTAGTCTAGTTTTGCTATCCAAAACGTGTATTCCATTAAGTTACCAAATTGATTCTAAGTGATGGTAGAGGCTTTGGATGAGAAAAAACACTCCCTTAATAAACACATGTCCTTCCCTTTGCATTCGCATAAATAAAACTTCCCAGGTCAAACTCCGCATGGTACCAGGGATGCTGCGATGAACCATGTCCTGAGAAGGAGTGATGGGTGTGAACCCTCCAGAGGGGAGGGACCGCACAGGAGAAGGACTGCAAACGTAATTTCACCTTCGGCACTTCTCCCTCTAGAAGGACAGAACCACTTGGACCTTGCCAGGTCCCTGAAGAGCCACCTGAGCTTGAACATGGGGATGGGGAGTTTAACTGCTGGTAGAGATTGGCTTCCAGTACATTGCATGAAAATATTAACAAGGGAGCTTTCACGGGGGCAAAGACCTCGTGGCTTTGCCCTACAGAGGCATAACCATGTCTCTCTTACAGAGTACTTGGGATAACCAAAGCCAATAGAAGATTAGGAGGAAATCAACTTCATTTTTCCATTACACACTTTCTCAAGAACCCATTGCTTACGACCGCTGTGGCAAATTGCACTACATCTTACAGTATAAAATAGCATCTACAAAGTATCATCTGTGGACCTGGGGATCTTTAGCTCTTCTTCTTAGTTCATTAAAACACTAGTTTTCTATATTTTTAAGACACTGCCAACTTCAGGGATAATCCATAACGATGGGATGTGTGTGGCACAACCCGATGGATACTCGGCTTATATTTCAGGTCCTCTTTCTCATGTCGGACTGTCTCTGTCTCTCCAGTATATTGAAATCTTTTGATTAAATCCTCTTACTCCACTGCTTCCTTATTGATACTCCCCCTTTGTCTGGCAAAATTTTAATTACTACAGCACTGCATAACTCCATTCAGTGCTCTGATACTACCCCTGTGACAGGAGCAAAAGCAATTCCTAAGATAGAATGCAAGTATAATACTCTATCATTATGTCTTCTTTTATGGCTCCTAGCACCCTCTTTATGGCTGCTAATATATTGTGGTCTCTGCCTTTCACTTACTGATTTCTGCTCTCCCTCACTCAATGTGTCCTTTTTCTTACCCAGAGAATTAACACCCCATCTCTGCTATCTCTCTTTCCTGCTCCCAGATATAATGTAGTGAAGTTCTTTTCTCCTTGTCATGTTATTCTTTCCCATCTCTCAAAGACAGGAGTCTATATAATGCTCTACATCTTCTGCAACACAATTAGCAGCCAGGATGCCATGGTCTGTACGCAGTGCTACTGTGTGTTGCTTAACGCAGTGGGTGGACCTA